ATTAAAAGGTGATTCCACGCTCCTTAAAACCTCCAGATCAGAGGCCCGTCGCTGGATGCAATTTCATCGTCCTACCCAGGACACGGATGTAGTTTTTCATCATACCCAAGACGAAGGTAATTTTTAAGTTGGAGTTGTTGCGAGGCAAGCTAAAGATACTTTGATTTAGAATTTATGATTACAAAAGAGTGACAATAAGGTAATAAAAAATAAATAAACTTTGATTTAAAATTTATAATTTCTTGGTTTGTTTTTTTTTTATTATTTACGATAACTAACGTTGTATTATTTGGTTTGAATTAACAGAAAATATCCCAGAATTTGTATTATACATTTACAGTAAAAGTGGACGAAGAAAACAGAACGGTTTTAGAAAATGCGAAATTTTGTAAAAGAAGCAAATTTCCATTCTAAAGATATAGAATACTAACCCTACCCCCGTCAGTAAATTCATGACTTTTGATTCCTATACAACCTAATGAAATTAAGTCGATTTCCATTAGAAAACTGAACAAGCAATATGATTTCAAAACTAAAAAGGCCTCCTTTCCTTTCCTCATCGTAGTCTCTGTTTGATATACTGATAGAATAGAAAACTCTGTTGAAGAGAACACAACGGATGGCCCTGCAGTAATTTCACTTCCCTGTTTGCTCTAATAATACCCATTCTATTTATAACATATTGACAAAGAAGATTACTTGAAAAGTCATTGTTCGTGAAAGATCACGATAGAACCACGCTCTCACCTGAACGTCACTCAGAACGCCGCTTGTTTCCAAAAACTGCGCTTTAAGTTGTATAGATTTCTTTTTGTTCTACTTAAGAAATAAAATTAACTAAATATAACCTACGTGATCGCTAAAGAGCAAAGAAGCGAGCAAACGAAATTCAGAAGAAACAAACAAATTATTGAAAAACGTAATGAAAATAAAATACATTATGTATTGATGAAAACAATAGAAAATAAAACAAAGAAAAGACAACGTAACCATGAAAGAAATAACAGAAAAAAAGTGAGACTTTCTTAAGGGGATAACTAATTATTTGAAATTATGGAAAACAATGAAACCCCAAGGAAAAATTACATGGATCTAGAATAGTGCTTTCATTGAATCTCCAAGAATGGAACGCTGAATCGAAAGAGGAATTATTTTCTGAGAAAACAATGTAGGCTTTAAACAAAAGATACATTCTTAGGAGTTTAAAATAAAGAAAATGTAATATGATATATATATATATATATATATATATATATATATATATATATATATATATATATATATATATATATGGGATATGAGGGAGATAGAGATAGAGGGGGAAAGGGGGAGAGAGGTTTGTATGTTTGTGATTACGCGCATTTTGTAATCGAAAATGAGAAAAAAATAGAAGGATAAAAAAATCATTCGTTAAAATAAAAAAAAAACTAAAATAAATGAGAGAAGTCGAACTAAATCATGCTCAAAAAATTGCATGATCTATTCAAAAAAATAATTCGAAAGTACTTTGGCTTAAATTAAAATTTGAACGATTTTTTTCTTGTAGCTTTGTTGTTTAATTCACCGCCATTTCCAACATTTTAGGGTTATTCAATGTCAAATCTAAGTCTTATAGATAAAATTTATAATAAATTGATAGATAAATGGATTTAGAAGTAATGCTAATTATATTGGAATTTGATATAGGTCCGATTTACTTCTTTCTCTGCTATGTTCTATTTCCCTTCTGGATATGGACGATCACGGAAATCCAAATCTTCCTATGCCTTCTGGCTTTTAACAATGTTTTTCTCTTTTCCAAGCCTGCTAATTACGATTCCACGATTCATTCAAACAAGCTCAACTGTTAGGTGCCTTGCTGCTTTGCCCTATCTAACTTGTTTTCAATATGCATTTGAGTCTTAATTTCCCAGTGTCCACAAAATTTCGCCCATTGTTATCTGATTCTAAGTATAACTTTTGTATTTGTTGCCATTTTATTTCAGTATTCCCCGTTAATCTTCAAAGAATCCAAATCCATGGCTACAGTGGTAGTTGGTCCTACTGGATCTGCCTGAATCCACACCGAAATGATGTTTTGTCGCTATAGCGTCAACTTTCATATAGAAGGAAATTCTAATGATAATGATACTAACTTACAAGCGGTGGCACATCTTATAGTTTGCTCTAATCTTGAAGATGCATGCACAATTAACGATCTTGAAAACATAACACCCCAGTCAAAGCTCTGTGTGCTACACTGGATGAGTGAAGTATAGCGACACGATCAGTTAAATATCTTTAAAAGATAAGACATACAGATGACCCTGCCTTGATAGCTAACACCGAAAAAAAACTGCAGTAACCTCATTGAGAAGGAAGGTAACGAAAGCCAGATTAGCTATTAATTGCAAGAAGACAGAAATAATAGTTATCAAGAAAAGTAAATTAAGATGCGAGTTAGAAATTGGAGGTATCCTCATTAAACTACTACAGACTTTATACATGCGTGATGTATCTTAACATAGGATTGAAAATGTAATACCGAAAACTGAACAGATTTTAGATTAACGGAAGTGTCATCACAAACATTAAGAAATGTGTTAAGAAAAAGTAAAGTATAACACCGAAATCTGAAAACCTTTTGCATTAGTAGAAAGTTCTATCTCAAAAAGTATACAATGTGTTAAGAAAAAGAAAAAAATAATAATGTGAGACCGAATTATGAACATCTTTTCGATTACCGGAAGAGCCATAAAAAATCTAAGCAAAGTGTTAAGAAACAGAAAAATGTGACACCGAAACCTGAAGACCTCTCGGATTAGCGGAAGAGCCATAAAAATCTAAGCAAAATGTCAAGAAACAGAAAAGGGGAACACCGAAATCTGAAGACCTTTCGGATTAGTGAAAGAGCCACCAGAAAAAAAACCCCAAAAGAACAAAAAAAACAAAAAACTACGTAATATGTTAATAAAGAGATAATTGTGACTCTGAAATCTGAACATCTTTTTGATTAGCAGAAGAGGAAACACAGACATTAAACAATTTGTCAAGAAGCAAAGAAATGAAACAGCGAAATCTGAAAGCCTTTTGTATTAGCAAAAGAGCCATCACAAAAATTAAGAAATGTGTTAAGAAACAGAAAAATGTTGTTACAAAATAGAAAAGTGTTGGAATGTTATGTGATATCTATACTCTTTTATAACAATGAATGATTTATAATTTCTCCTGAGATTGGAGGTAATGTAAAGGGTGTTCCAAAAGTCATGCGACAATTAGCAGAAAACATCCACTTGTGAAATAGCAACCACGGGAAATTTGCATGACATCATCTTCCATAATTTGACCAATATAATTTCTTAATAATAAAATTGTCAAGTACAGAAACATGATTCCATATTGGAAATAAATATAAACTTATCAACGTTTATCATTTGGAACACTGTGTAGTCCTACACAAGGATACTGAGAATCCAATGGACGGAGGGATTAAGCAATATCATAAACATTAACTTCCTTCGATTTGTCACTTCCGGAATTATCCATCTTTTGTTGTACTATATATACATATCCCCTTTGACTTGCATTCATATTTAATCTTAGGCCCGTCGTGGGCTGTTCTGTTTATTAAAGATTTCGTCAAGGTAATTCTTTATTTGCGTTCATTATTACAAGTACATTGTGCAATAACTTGTCAAATTCTTTTGCATTAATCTATAAAACATAAGGAAACAATATTACCTGATATTCTTCTGGTCATAAATATCGCATTCCTTGATCCAGTGTCTTTAAATAACCAGCACTTTACCAATTCTATTTTTGACTAATTCTGCACCACGCTGTATAGATCAGAATTTGGATGACGAGTTTTTATTATTCGGTCATTAGGTTGATTATTCGGAAGAATTCGCCTTACTTTGTTTCAGGATTCCTAGACAGTATTATGAAATTGGATCTGTAAGGACTTATAATAAAACCATTAATGGGAAAAATCCGTTCATCTTCTTTATTTGCTTTCAATAAATAGTCATTCCTAATGACGTCATGCGTGACGCCAAACAATTTCTCAGTCGTATACAACCACTTTTAAAGATCAATGATTAATCATGGCTTCCAGAGAATGAAGTTTGTAACTCTTAGAGATGACAATGCTTCTTGGAACCTCGTACATAATCATAATGATATTGACCAACTAACAGAAACCATATCTCTTGAATTAATTTAACAGAAGCACCTATTAAAATGCATAGCGAATGCAAATCCAAGTGAAAGTAAGAAGACATAACCAACAGGTGTATATTCCAGACTATTTCAAGCAAAAGTTAAGAATGAAGCTCCGTCAATACTGAAAAGAAAGATGATTGTAAGGTTAAGAAACATATTTTCCAAAAAAAGTATTTCAGAGACAGATTTTATAAATTTCACCAGACAGTAGAAGAAATGTTTAGTCAGTCTTATTATTACTATTCTGCTTACTCCCGCTTAGTTCTTTAGTCAGTACGTACGCTAATCCCTGTCAATATCTCATAAATAATAGACTATTCCGTTTTGATCGTGTGGCAATATGGAAAAGACATATCAGAGACGCTACTTGGTCTCAGTAATTAAATAATTATAAAAAGGAACAAATGTTCGTCTAAAACCTAAAAAAATAATTAACTGTTCTAATTTGAACGCGAGGGAAGAAAAGACACTTTAAGACACTTATATGAGATGCTGTTTGATTTCAGTGAGAAAAGGAAATAAAGAAATCATTTTTGATTGATTGTTTGGTTTTCTAGGGTTTATTCAATATTTGCAGTTTATTTAAAACCAGACAATATTTTAAGATTGTATGAATTTTATTGTGATTTACTGATACAATTATTACTAATTAACCCATAGCTGGCGAATAATGATGCAAAGTCATACCTTCCCCAAAATGGATTTGCGCGTAAGTGTATATAACGACGGCAAATGGAATTGAAACTCTCCGATTAAAATTTCCGAGCCAGCATCTATTAAACCGCCCACACACCAAGCTTACAGCAAATGGTATTCCTAAGCCGTCACCTATCTAGGTACTGACCAGGCTCGGGGTTGCTTAACTTTGGTGATCGCACGGGAACCGTTGTTTAATGCTATATAGCCGTCAGCTTAAAGAAAATAAATTGAAAGAATAAAGCCGCGAAGGTTTCACGGGTTTTATTAGTGAATGTTTACAGTCACAATATATATATATATAAAAAAACAACTGTATTACACTTACTCTGTAAAAGCATTGTTTTCTAATGCTCTGTGTCCAAAACGAATGGAACCTGTTCCCGTAGAATAAATATCTTTAAGGAAACTTTAAATAAATTCTGTGTGTCATGCTTAACATATTTTGGTAAATAATTCCATAAGTATATATTGTAATTTCGCTTGTTAATCAAATGATTTGTTTTTACACCGTATCAACATTTTGTAGGTTACTTAAAAGCAATACATTGTTTTGGAATGGAAGAAGTATCCTCGACAACCGGACAGAGAAGGCCTTTAGGATAAGTGGAATTGGTTACACATTATTGATATTAGGGGTTACATCTAGATTAAAATAAAAGAAGTAAAACCAGGTTTAACATGTATTTTCAATGTTTTATAGGAAATAAAATAAGCTAATGGTGAGTGAAATATAACGGAATTGATTTTAAGGAAACAGAAATAAATTATGCCATGCTAATGAATATCAATTAAATTAAGTATGCCACGTATGCAAACAAAATAAAGTAACAAGGATTTTTTTAATCACTGTCTAATGTCATTCTAAACAATTTCCGCATTTATTTTTGTTTTTGAAACTTTTAAACTATACGTGCTTTACCGCAATCGTCATAGCAGAATGCTGGCTTTTTTCTATAAAACTGACAACACTTTCAATAGCTTTTTCAATTTAAGACCAAGTTTCATCAAAATCATATTTTTTTTATTTCCTTGTTCATTTTGTCAGTGTGAACGCAGACGAATATGTTCTTGGAAAGATTTTATCTCATACAATGTTCAATTTCCTATTTTGAACTCAGCCATTAGTTACAATGAATTTTCACCAGCTTCTAGTTTGTTTAAAATTTCCACTTTTTGGGATATTTCCAAAGTTGTACTTTTCCTCTTATTCATATCATCTTTTGCACAAAAACAATCCGTTAGAGTGAAATAAGCATATACAGTTAATGAACGTAAATTTTCTGAAAAAACAGATTTCAAATCAGTTACACATTACCGAAATAGATCAAATATAAACATAAAAATCATGCCCGGATAATTTTTTTTTTTTAAGCGATTCACCCCAAGCAAGGCGGGAAGCCACTAGGACGCAAGGGGTTACAGAAAATTTGGAGCAAGATCAGATAGGAGTGAAAGAGAAAAGGATGAGGAGTAGGGTGGTGGATAGATCAAGGCAACTGGAGATGTCGATTGACATTACGTTTGAATAGCTGGAGATTATAGCTCACAGGGAATGGAAAAGGGAAGGGAGTTCCACAGGCGAGAGGTGCAAGACATGAAGCTATTGGAGTAGAAGAGACGGCTACATTTAGGAGTTTCGACAGTGAAGGGGTTAGAACGGGATGTCATCCTCGTAGGGCGCTGGAACTCATGACGTCTGGGAACCAGCGAATGCAGCTCCTCGGAGCAATTGCCATGAAAGTATTTGTAAAACAGACAGAGAGAGGCGACGGCGCGTCTGTGAGAAAGTGACTGTAAACGAGATGCCAGAGCAGGGCCAATTATATTGCATATCTGCCTCTGGAGCCTATCAAGAACCCCGAGGCAAACAGAAGGGGCTCCAGACCATATATGGCAGCAATACACCATGCAAGGGCGAATTGTTGATTTGTAGATCTGGAGGATCGATTCCGGGGAGAAAAATTTCCTGGTGCGGCACAGGGAGCCAACTTTCCTTGCGGTAGACGAAATGCGGGATTCCGGATATGAGACATTCCAGATATGAGGGATTCCGGATATGAGGGATTCACTGTAATAAAGATTTTAAATTTCAACTAATTATCATGTAGCTGAGAGAATGAGACATGGATCCATATCTTTCACAAAGTTATTTGTTCGTAATTCAATATAACGAAACCGAATGTTATTTTAAATCAGCGTTCAATTTCCAATTCTGAGTCGTTATATAATATATCACCTGCACATCCAACCTTACACAACCGTATATTCGCTAGTTTCCTTAACATCTTTTAGTAAATAAACTGTATGAGGGAAAATATGATAATGTCATTTCTTTCGAAGGAATAAGCATACTTTGAAATCTATAATATTAAAAGACTAATATAGTGGGAAAAAATTGCATTTCTCGATAGAAGAGTTAATGATTTATTTATATTTTCTTGATCTAATCGCTATTATATTTTACGACCACATTGCTTTCACGGTGTTAAACCTTGAATTTAATTAGCAGCTAAAAACAGCTCTGCAGGTGCACTTCCTATTGGCTTCAATGAACAAAGTTAAATTTAAATTTCAAAATTTCGTAAAGCATACAACATATGTGAAATGAAGCAAAGGTTATTTAATTGTATATCCTAATGTTTCCATTAGAACCTTGAAATATGACATCTCTACAATAACTATTGTTCTGTCGCGTTTTACTGTGCTTCGACACGAATATTAAATATTCGATGGTGCATACGTAGATATTAAGTGGAAATATTTAATGCCGTTTTACAGTTCACTCTAAAAGAATAATATCTGCCGTTTCTTATTACTAGTTTAAAACTACATACATATTTAAGAAAAATATTATGTTTGTATATAACACACACACACACACATATATATACACACAGACACACATATTTATATATATATATATATATATATATATATATATATATATATATATGTATGTATGTATGTGTGTGTGGAATGATATACAAACATAATATTTCGCTCAGGTTATTACAGCTCATTAATAAGATATCTGATTGCCTCAAGCCAAAAGGATAGAAACCCAACCGATTTGGCATAATTATATATATATATATATATATATATATATATATATATATATATATATATATATATATATATATATATATTTATATGGATAGTTGGATAGATGTTTAGTGACCCTGGGTTTCAACCTTAAAAAGCGACCGTTAAAGAAACTGATTAATGTTTTAAAAATTTGGGTTTATGTAGATTGCATGTATTGGTGTTATTGTGGAAGTGGTGGGGGTTTTCGTCGTTTTATCATTCATCGTACTAACGCAAACATCGATGTATGCAGACATATATACATACTTGGTCGTCCGTCGGGACTCATACATATATAAACATATGTGGGCAGTTTCGGATATTATATATGTATGTATACGGGTGGTGTTATGTCTATACATACGCATTTGTATGTTGAAATGTTGAAATGTAAACATTGGAAGTGTGGCGGAAATGTCTCGTTAATATCTCGTGAATCTATACGTCATATTATGTGTTTTTCCGCTGAATAATATTTCCTCACATGTATATGTATACGTGTGGTGAGTTTGTGTAAAATTATGATAGGTAAAAATTATTATTATTTATATTTACTTTTAAATTTATTTTTAAATTTTTGAAAAAAATGGGGTTTTATTTATTATATTTAAAGCTGGTTATTTGTTTGTTTTTGGTGACTGTGTATATGTAACAGGTAGAAATTTGTAATCCTTATTGGTTAATTTATATGGTGATGTTATTATTTAATGTGCTGGGTGAGAGGGTAGTTTAACTTAATAACGGGTCTATATGATATGATGTGATAGTAATGTTTCAAGGGATTAGAGACAATGATAGTATAATTAGCTAATAGTTATTGTAAATTGGTAGAAATTGTAAATTGGTAGAAATGATTAGTAACGGTGGTGGGAGAATGATAAAGCCATGAATGTAGTTATAGTGGTGGTAGTTAGTGGTAGTAGCTTGAACTAAAAAGTGGCTGTTGGTGTTTTATTTTATTTTGTTATATGTATTAATTTATTTTGGTATAAATCCTGATAATAGGTATTCTGTGTAAAGTTATGGTAGTTGAAGATTGCTACAATTTTTAATTAAAAAATTATTATTGTTATTATATTAAAGCTGCAAATGTAGGCATGAGAACAAGTACCTATTATCCGAATTCTTACCAAACGGATAAAATAGACAAACCACCAACAATCACAATTTAATTTCAAGATACCATCAAAATAATTGCATCTATCATTATTATCATTGCACCGCCATTAGTAATCACGTTTACCACTTTACAATAACTATTACCTAATAATATTATCATTATCACCAACACACAGGACCATCACTTACACATCACACCTACTATTAACATATAAATTCACTACAATCTTTATTACTCCCCCGGCATATTTAATACATTAAAATAATATGATCAGATATAATTTCCATATGTAACCATGAGAATAAACACACATTACCAGGCAGCTATATATTCAATTTAATTAGTAAGCAAACAACCTTAATCGTCCATTGACTATATTTTATTTCCCCAGGTAGATGGTTTTTACCTGGTTCACTAGATCACATTTTCAAGGGCGAAAAATAGTGGTAAAAGTACGTATTATTTTTATACACTTTTAGGGGTAGTTCTAACTTTGTCTGTTTTCTAATTGAATTGAATTAATAATTCCTCTGGTTTGACATTGAGCTCTCTGTATTATATTCTCCTTTGGATTATCCATATGGATTACCAAACTTTTCATTAACTAACTACATATATATATATATATATATATATATATATATATATATATATATATATATTTATATATAAATACATATACACATAAATACATAGCCATCAACTAAAATTAATTAATTACATTGTATATTATGCCTTTTTTTGACGATAAGTAAATGTTTATTTTTGAAAAATTCTGTTTTATAATGTATTTTGGTATTATTGAATAACGCGCCATAGATTGAAGTTCTGAAATTTTTTTCTTTCCTAAACACTAAATGATAAAATATTCAGGCTTTGCTAAAATAAGTGACCAGGGAATACATATATAAGATAATGTTTGACACACCGATTCACACACATACATACATACATACATATATATATATATATATATATATATATATATATATATATATAT